TGCGCCTGTGTGTGTGGAGCCTGGGGGTGCTGAGTCTGGGGGTGAGTCGCCTGAGGGTTCTGAGACGGCTGTTCCGCAGTCTCCTTGGAGTAGCCGTTTTCGTCCGCGTGTGCCCCTCACCTCCCAGCAGCTGCACGACTGGTACGGTCGCCGTCAGCGTCCCACTTCTGCACCTCAGGGCTCTCCTGCTGGAGGTTCTTCTGCTGGTGTCGCTGGTCCCGGAGGTGCTCGTACTGGGAGTGCTGGAGCTGCTGGGGCTGGTGGTGGTGCTACTGGAGGTCTTGGAGCTACTGGCGGTGCTGGAGCTGCTGAGGGTACTGGAGCTGCTGGAGGTGCTGGAGATGCTGGAGCTGCTGGAGGTGCTGGAGCTGCTGGGGGTGCTGGAGCTGCTGGAGGTACTGGCGCTGCTGGAGGGGCTGGTGCTACTCGTGCTGGTGGCACTGCTCAGCCGCGCCTGTTCTTTGCTCCGCCGTCTCCGTCGTCTCAGCCACCACCTGACTCTGCACTTCGCCAGGTTCTCAGTCTTCCCTCGTCTACTGGTCTTCCGTTACAGCTTGGCTCACCGCTGCCTGCTCCTTCTCCGTACACAGAGCAGCCTGGTGGCCTTGCAGAGCGTCGTGAGCCTGCGTCGCGTCCTGTCTCCCCTGTCAGTACCGGTCGTCGTGTTCCTCGTCAGAGCCAGCCGGCTGTCTCCGGCCCTCCCCTTGTAGTTCGTCGTCCTTCCTCTCCTTCTCCGCGTGTTCCTCTGCCGCCTCCCCCTGCGTCCTCTCTGCCTGTCGTTGCTGACCCTGCGTCTGACCGGTTTCGTGCTGAGCACTCTACTGTCACGCGTCTGCTTGCCACTGTTGTCACCGACCCGTCGTTTGAGTCTGCTGCTGCGTCTGCCTTAGTCACTAAGCTTGTTGCCTTTGCTGCTCACTGTCGTCTAGACTACGCCGCCAGTCTTGTTGCTGAGTCTGCGTCTGTCTGTCCTCAGTCCGTCAGGGGTGAGTGTGCTCTTGGCACGGACGTCTTTGAGGACAGGTAGGAGAACCTTGAGTGTCTTGCAGCCGCTGCGCCTCATCTCGTATCCATGCTGCTTGCCCCTGAGGGAGACCCGGATGCACCAGACATCCCTACCCCGCGCTCTTAAGCTGAGGCGATCGCGGGTGAGTACTCCTCTCAGTGGCAGACAGCCATGGACGCAGAGATGGCATCCTGGAAGTCCACAGGCACCTACGTCGACGAGGTTCCCCCTCCTGGGGCGAACATTGTCAGTGGCATGTGGATTTTCAGGGTGAAGCGGCCACCAGGTTCTCCGCCTGTCTTCAAGGCTCGGTACGTGGCTCGAGGCTTCAGACAGCGAGAGGGAGTTGACTTCTTCCAGACCTTCTCCCCCACCCCGAAGATGACCACTCTTCGGGTGCTGCTGCACGTTGCCGCTCAGCGTGACTACGAGCTTCACTCTCTTGACTTCAGCACAGCCTTCTTACAGGGCAGCCTGCACGAGGAGATTTGGCTGCGCCGCCCTCCTGGCTTCACTGGGTCGTTCCCTCCTGGTACCCAGTGGAGCCTCCGGCGGCTGGTCTACGGTCTCCGCCAGGCGCCACGTGAGTGGCACGACACACTGAGGACGACACTTGCGGCTCTTGGGTTTGCTCCGTCGACTGCTGACCCGTCGCTGTTTTTGCGCACCGACACTTCTCTGCCGCCGTTCTACGTTCTCGTGTACGTCGACCTTGGTCTTTGCCACTGCTGACACTGAGGCTCTCGCCCTGGTGAAGTCGGAGCTGCAGAAGAGACACACGTGCACAGACCTGGGTGAACTGCGCAGCTACCTTGGCTTGCAGATCACCCGGGACAGAGCACGCCGCACCATCACACTGACTCAGTCACACATGGTGCAGCAGGTCCTTCAGCGCTTCGGTTTCACCTGGTCCTCAGCACAGGCCACTCCTCTGGCTACAGGTCACTCGCTCTCAGCTCCACCTTCGGACGAGTCCGTAGAGCCGAGTGGTCCTTACCCAGAGTTAGTGGGCTGCCTCATGCACCTGATGACTTGCACTCGTCCTGACCTTGCGTACCCTCTTCGCCTTCTGGCTCGCTACGTGGCTCCTGGTCGGCACCGAAAGGAGCACATGGATGCTGCCAAGAGGGTACTACGCTACTTGTGCAGTACATCGGGCATGGGGCTCGTGCTTGGAGGACGGGGTGATGTTGTCCTCACAGGTCACTCGGACGCCTCTTGGGTTGACGACCAGGCTACGCAGCGGTCGTCACAGGGTTACACCTTCAGCCTTGGTTCTGGTTCAGTTTCCTGGCGTTCTACACGTTCGTCTTCAGTTCTCGGCTCCAGCTGTGAGGCAGAGATCTACGCCACAGCCATGGCTGCACAGGAGTTGCGCTGGCTCACCTTCCTGCTGACCGACTTGGGAGAGAGGCCTCGTTCTCCTCCAGTTCTGTACGTCGACAATAAGGCCGCCATTGCCTTGTGTCAGGAGCACAGACTGGAGCACAGAACAAAGCACATCGCTCTCCGTTACTTTCTTGCTCGAGAGCTCCAGCAGCGTGGCCAGCTTCGTCTTACCTACGTGGCCACTCGGGCCAACACTGCTGATATATTCACCAAGGCGCTTCCGCCTGGTGATCATCAGCGTTTCTGCACTTTGTTCGGCCTTGTGCCCACCCTTCCTCACTTGCTGTAGGTTTTGTTTGTACCATGATTTATATGTATTCCTGCATACTTGTTCTTGTAGGTAGATTTCACTGTACTGTTGCTATTACATATATATTTCTGCATGTGAACTGGCCTTGTGGCCTTCTTGCTTGTGCTCAGACTGCGTGGTGACGTTGTGATCCACCCTGAGCTTGCTTTGCACTTCCTGACTGGTCTTGTGACCCTCTGTTTTCCCCCACTTTGCATATGGGGGTGTGTCAAACATATGTATATATATGTTGTAGTTTGGGTAGGCTTAGTGGGGTACTTACTGTGGGGTACAACCCCTTGGGTTCTCACTTTGTACCAACCCCCTCGATAGTCGAAACCACTTTTCTCTCGTAAGATTCTAACAACAAGGCCACATGGCGAGCCGCCGACAACATTTCACGGTTTCCCGCCTGTGGTCACCAGCGACAACGGTGCCAGTGTGAGAGTGGGGCATTTTGGCACCACGCGGAGAATGGGCTGATCCGTGTTAAAAATAGGTTCGGTAACTGGGTAGTCGTCACACAACCCTGATTCCGTCAGGCTAACTAAAAATCCAATCAGGGGAAAAAAACACCAACACCTTTTGGGTAAGGGTAAGAATCTACGAAGCCTGATTTAGAAAGGGTAACTCTGAAAAAGCGGCCCGCCCCCAGGGTAATCAGGGTATTTTACCCTGATATTTTGGGCCCTGCCTTGAAGACTGCAATGTGGAGGCTACTGTGTAATGTCACACGTGATTCTACAGTGTTACTCAACAGCCTTTTCTCACCCACTGCATTTATTTCATTGTGATGGTGCAGAAGCATTTCCTAGCGCGTATGTCAGCTGCAATTGACCGAAGGAGATTCAGTCCGAATCTTCTGACCTTGAGACTCAATCCGCACACCGCCATCTGTCAGCATGACTCGGCGAGGATTTTTCGCTCGGTCGAATACGGTGATGATTGCCACCTCCATTTTGCAACCTTCTTGAACCGAGCTTGTTTCCCGACTACCAAGCAGGCCTGTCGATTGACGGGCATATGCCCTTAATGCCCTGAAATTCCGGGCTACTTTCGCTCCAGCTCGACTGCATAAAGTGTTAGGATCGCCCTGTACCCGTGCCACTAAGTGCTTCGTTCGACCCTTACCCGGATGCGTTAAGTGCTCCAACCAGGCCTTCCCCACCCACAAAGTTTTGATTTCCGGTTCTAGGATACCCCCCCCCCCCCCAAGAAATTCTGCCTGACCCCCTCACTCCCACCCCCCCGTTTCTCCTTAGGTTGCATGAGAGCGTGCCAAGGGGATTTTTCCCTTAGCGTTTTCTAGCCAATCTCGTGTTTGTGATATCTCTAAGTCAGCTTTGGAGCAGCCGAACTTTCCCTTAGCTAAGATAGTGTAAGTGCAAGCCCGGATATCAAGTTTTCACTTTGGCCTGCGCCCGTGACCGTTAAGGGCGCCAAAACACTCAGGTACGGCCAATACAGGGTCAGATAGGGAGGAGCTGGGGACTCCAAGTATGGGCCCCAGGAACTTCGACAGGCCTGCTACCAAGTCTGACCGACTTTCCTGGCTTTCCTCCTAATCCAGTTTGCTACCTCACTAAAGACAGGCAGGGCTATTTCCTGGCTGCTCAAACACGCAACCTCCCGGCCTGTAACCGCTACCTGTAAAACTTATGTCGCGATCCTTATTACCTCAGAGTCAAGATCGAACCTAGTACATATCCTCTAGCGTCGTATGTACAATCGGTCCAGTCGTGGCCATCCATATTAATAGCTTATCGGTGTTCAGTAACGGATCGATGCACGACAGCTGATTAGCAGTCGCTACCAGACCTTAATACGCAGGGGTACTGTTATCACTGACCAACTAACCGACCGACCAAACTACAGTACAAGCACTTTGCGAGGAGACTCTACCTCGAGCCACCCGCAGCTTGCGCTTAAGTGCGATTTCCGTTCTCATTCCCGGGCCGCTCCCGGTGACCCTTTTTCCGCAGACGCCTTTTCCTCCATTGTGCCGGTTCTCGCTCCGCTTCCGCCATTTCGCGAGCGTCGAAGCCCAAGCTCTAGATTTGCCTGACGCGGAGAGATAAAGATTGCCTTGAAAAAAATAAAAAAATCAAACACGTTCACTATTTCCCCACCGTTTGGCCGACCCCGAGGCGCGGAATCGTTTTTACTTCATCCACCTCCCATGAAATACTTCTGTTCCAAGAGACGTCCTCGAAGTGATTTTATTCAGAGAATCAAAGCCTCCATTGCCGAAAACGACAGTGCGCATCGATCGCGGCCCGCCGAAGCCTTCAGTCATAAAAGCTATTGCTGCCGGCCATGGCCGCGAATCGCGGCGGCGTGTCAATGGTCACCCGCAAGCTGATGCATGCTTTCGCGCTGCTGTCTCTCGCGCTCGCCGCCACGGCGACAACCCCGAGGCTGCTCGTCGCGGCCGCCGCTGCTCCACCCAGCCCCGATAGTGAGTTATTAAACGTTCAGAGGCGCTCAGGGATGCAGTCAGAAACAGCAACTTGTTTGTGCTGCCAGGTTCGGGGAACGCCATGGATCCTCCTCTTCCCCCCCCCCCCCCCTCTGTCCCCCCTCCACTTCTTCCGGTGCACGGGCCGCGCTGTTAGCGCGGAGGGACGTGCAGAGAGGCAGCAATCCTGCTGTGCTGCCGGGATGGGGGAACGCTATGGATCCCTGCGACCCCTTTCGCCCACCACCCTGCACCCCTCCTCTTCTTCCTCTTTCGCAGAGGCAGCACTGTTGGCGCTGCGGGAAGCGCTGAGAGGCAGCAATCCTGCTGTGCTGCCAGGATGGGGGAATGCGGATCCCTGCTAGCTTCGTCCCTCTTCCCGTCCGCCATGTCCCCCTCCGTCCGCCATGTCCCCCTCCGTCCGCCATGTCCCCCTCCGTCCGCCATGTCCCCCTCCGTCCGCCATGTTCCCCCCTCCTCTTGTTCCTGTGCAGAGGCCGCGCTGTTGGCGCTGAGGGACGTGTTGAAAGGCAGCAATCCTGCTGTGCGGCCAGGATGGGCACATGTATGAAGAAGTGTTTTGAGAGACGTCTCAAAACACTTCTTCATACAATCCTGCTGCCAGGATGGGGTAATGCGGATCCCTGCAAGCTACGCCCCTTTCTCCCACCCCCCCTGTCCACTCCTCCTCTTCTTCCGGTGCAGAGGCCGCGCTGTTGGCACTGAGGGATGCACTGAGAGGCAGCAATCCCGCTGCGTTGCCAGGCTGGGGGAACGCCATAGGTCCTTGCGACCCCTTCTCTCATTCTCTCCCCCACCCTTGACCTCTTCCTCCTCCTGTTCTTCCTCTTGCGCAGAGGCTGCGCTGTTGGCGCTGAGGGACGTGCTGAGACGCAGCAATCCCGCTGCACTGCCGGAATGGGGGAACGCCATGAATCCCTGTGATCCCTCTTTGTGGTCCCCTCGCCTCAAATGCAACTCTGCTAGACGCGTTATAAGCCTGTGAGATGCTGGACGCGTTATAAGCCTGTGAGATGCTAGGCACGTTATAAGCATGTGAGACTGGCTGCATGGAACCCCTTCCACCCTTTCGCATCCCTCCCCACTCCCCCTCTTCTCTCCCCATTCCCCCCCTCCCGGCGGCCCCATTCTCTGTGAGCGAGCTTTTCAAGGTGGCGATTTCCTTTGAGTGATTCCCTTTCCCTTCTCTCCCTTCTCTGGGAATACTCCCCCTTCCCGTCTCCCTTTCCCCCTATTCCCCCCGCTCCCCCCACTCCCCCCACTCTCTCCGTCCCCAATTGCTCTCAATGCCCCTCTGCACAGCAACCTGGCGAACGAGCTGCTGAAAGGGCCCATCCCAGGGAAGCAACTGGCTTCTCTGGCTGCTCTGCAACGCCTGTGAGTGCCGTGACCACAGGGAAACCGTGAGAGCTGAGAAAGAAAGGGGAGCGGCCACTAGTTATTAGAGATATCGCTTGATGTGGTTGGAGGAAAGGCCGTGCGGAAGCTAAGGGGTCTACCGTCTATGTGGAAATCACTATTGAGAATTCTCAAAAGTGGGTCCCCATCTCCATCTCTGTCCTGTTCCCATATCTTATGATTTCAATTTCTCTCATCACTTCCCTCCATCTCGTTATTTTCCGTCTGCCATGATTTCCTATGTTTGATATTTTTTTAATCTGTATATTGCCCCTTATTTCATGACCACACGTGTGCCTCAATGTGCCTTTGTCAGTCATTATTCCCTTCCTTTTGTAACACCCCCCCTCCATTTTCCCTGCTTTTCACATCTCCAAACTTGCAGCAAGATGGGATGCAGCTCTCTCACAGGACTCACACGACTCATCTCATCCCAGAAGGGACTTGTGAGGCATCTTTTCTGATCCTTTCCCTGCTTTATTCGCCTCGCCCCGCATGTGGCCGTTGCAACGCGCAGCAACATGGGATACAACGCACTCACAGGGTTCATCCCAAAGGAGCTCTCAGCCCTCTCCAACCTCACCTTCCTGTGAGTCGTGCCAAAAGTTGCCGTCCACCCTTCGAACCTCACCTATTTGTGAGTCGACATGACACCTATGTCGCAACCCTAGCTGAGCGTAAATTCCAACATAGCATGACACCCACCTTTTTTTTGTGGAGAATTCTCAAAAAACATAGCATGACACCCACCTTTTTTTTTTGGAGAATTCTCTAAAAACATAGCATGACACCCACCTTTTTTTTTGGAGAATTCTAAAAAAACATAGCATGACACCCACCTTTTTTTTTGGAGAATTCTTAAAAAACATAGCATGACACCCACCTTTTGTTTTTGGAGAATTCTCGAAAACATAGCATGACACCCACCTGTGTGGTGCGGCACCTCCAACCTCATAAGCTGTCCGCCCTTCCAACCTGAACCACTTATGAGTCACTCTGCAGCTTGCTTACTGTCGAGCGTTGAGACGTCTTAAAAGAGTGAGTTCCGAGTCATTCATTCACAGAGCTTACTTGCTAATCCCTTTCCCCTTTCCCATTCCCTTTTCCTTAACTTCCTCTCTCCCTCCCTCCCCCCCTCCCTCCCCCCCTCCCTCCCTCCCCTCCCTCCCTCCCTCCATCCATCCCCTTCAGATCATTAGAGTCAAATCAATTGAAGGGCTCAGTTCCCGAGTGGCTGGGATCGCGACTCTTAAAGCTAGTGAACGTGTGAGTTCTCTTACTGCAATTCAGCGTGTACGTTGTATTGCTTTGTTGGTGCGGATACAGAGACGAATTTGGGCCAATCCTTGTTTTCCTAGTTGATTGACTGACCCTCCTCATGCCTCCACACGTCTCTCGTTCTCCTTATGCCTCCACACGTCCCTTTCTCTCCTCATGCCTCCACACGTCCCTTTCTCTCCTCATGCCTCCACACCACACGCCTCTCTCTCATCATGTGTTCAGCCGTCTCGCCAACAACCGTCTCAATGGCACTCTGCCAAGCACACTGGGGGGTCTCAAGAATTTGCAGTCGCTGTGAGTTGTTTTTTTTTTCCTCCTGTCACAGAATATATTGTTAGGTGCAATACATTCAGTCACTTGCTAGAGTAGGTGTAGTTGGGTTATTAGAAGTACTGTAGAAGTTGGGTTTCGTGCGTGGGTAGTTACGTGAAGTTGGTAACCCAGGGACTAGCGAGATGCAGAGAGGGACAAATTCGAGGAACGGCAAGCCCTGGGCAAATCGAAGGGCCAAACCTGAGGCTTAGCGGGAACAGCCCAATGTCGTTTACGAGAAACTACGCGACACGGGTTGGGGATTCAAATAGACTAGGAACTCACTGCCAAGTTCGCTCTCTTGTTTGTTTGTCTAGTATAGTGGATTTACTTCACCGATCTAAGGCTACAGCAGCTAGGTGATACGCCACTGAGGGCAGCCATCTTGTGGGAGCTGGAAGCTCTCACAAACGAGAGAACGAAGATCGGGCAGAATGGACTGCCATGAGCTGCGGTGGCAGACGTACTCGCGTCGGGAGATACCGCCGCCGCGAAGGATGCGCTCAAAGGAGCGGGGAAGATCGCCAGGTCGCTCGCCTAGGAAAGAGGCGGATCGGGCGGATCGGATGACAACCAGCGACGGACGGCGCGGCGAAGGCGAGCGCGGCTGCAGATGAGATCGGCGCCAGGACCCCAGCCGTCAGAGAGCGATCCCTGGGATCTGGCAAGAGGCCAGCGGGGCGCGGGAGTAAGGCATCAGGAGGTTGCCGACGAGACGGACTCGCTGATGTTGGCAAACGAGGCCGACGGCGAGGAGACGGCGGAGGATGATCCAAAGGACGCGGGAGCAGATCGCTCGCCAGACGACATGCGCGAGGGAGGCGAGAGGCGCCGCGGAGAGAAACGCGAAGAGCGTGGAAAGGCGACGGGATCAAATCGCTCGACAGACGAAGTGCGTGGGAGTGGCGCAGGGCGCTGCGGGAGCGCGGAGGCAGATCGTTCTGCGGGCGAAATGCGCGGGAATGGCGCGAGGCGCTGCAGGAGCGCGGATGCAGCCGGGTCGGCGGGCGAAATGCCTGAGAATGGCGCGAGGCACCTCGGCAGCGCGGATGCAGGCGGTTCGGCGGGCGAAATGCGCGGGAATGGCGTGAGGCGCCGCGGGAGCGCGGATGCAGATCGCTCGCCAGGCAGGCTGCGCGGAAGTAACGCCAGGCGCGGCGAATGCAAGGAGGCTGAGCGCGCGCCAGAAGCCAGCCGTGAGGAAGAGAGGAGGCGCGACGCGCAGGCAGGGGTGTATGGCTCGCCTGAGCCAATGCACGGACATGAGCGCAGGAGGCGTATGGCGTTGGGCGGATGGCGATCAGCAGTGCAGTGGGAAGAAGAAAGGGAGGACGACCGCGACAAGAGGCGCGCGCAGCCCTCGCCAGCACGGCAGCGGGAGGAGGAGAGGAAAGCGCATGTCAGGGGCAGTGAGCGTTCGTCGAGGTACATCTCGGGGTCAGATGCGAGAGTGCGCCGGGAAGGAAGGGAAGAGCACCCTCGAGGAGGGGCAGAGGCTGCGAAGGAACAGGTCGGAGAAGCAAGAAGGCAGCAAGAGAGAGAGAGAGACTAATGAGGAGGGGCGAGGGAGAGCGCCACCGTCGTGAGCTATCCCCTGGTGAGGACACGGGGAGTGAAGAAGAAGGGAGAAGAGAGGACCATGGGCACCAAGGATGGGGAGCGCGAGAGAGATGTCGCAGGGAGCATTCGCCTGAAAAGAAAGAAAGGCAGAGGGGCGAATCTGAGAGGCGAAGGGAGGCATATGAAAATGAGCGGGGAAGGAGTCCGAGTCCGACATGGCAGAGGAGGCCACATCGGCCATGGGGCTCAGGAGGAGCAAGGGCGGCCATGGACGGAATAGATCGTGCACTGCATGGGGCGGGGTCGAGGAGCAGGGAATTAAGAGAGAAGAGAAGGGAGGAGCCGAAGAAGGAAGATAAGGGGCGGCTCAGAAGATGGGAGATGTCGCCAGAGAAGGGGACAAAAAAGGAAGAGGAGGAGGATGGGTATAATAGGGATCGGGGCCGACATGGTAAGGAAGAGCAATGTAAGACGAAATTATCCCCTGCAGGAGGAGAGGGGTATGAGGGACGGCAAGAGGGGCGAAGGGAACCTGATCGGGAGGAAAGGGAGAAGCAGGACGAAAGAGGGCAGAGAAGGAGAAGAGAGGAGCTGTGTAGGCGGCAGGAGTTGAGGCATGAGCATGACACGGAAAGCGAGGAAGAAGGAGAGCGGGACAGACCTGCACACCACGGATTTGGCCGAAGGGAGAGGCGCTGGGAAGAATATTCCCCTGAAAAGAGAGAGAGACCAGGGCGGGGATCAGAGAGACGTAGGGAGACTCGTGAGAGAGAGCGGGGAAGGAGCCCAAGTCAGAGCTGGCAAGGAAGGCCGCAGCAGTCGTGGGTGGGCTTGGGAGTGTTGTATGGGACAGAGTCAAGGAGCAGGGAGTCCAGGGAGAGGAGAGGGGGGAGTAGCAGAAGGAATAATGAGACCTCAGGGACATGGGAGACGGGGAGGTGGGGTATGGAGGCCCCACCCCGGGTGGAGGTGCCAGTGCGCTTTACGGGGAATGAAGGGACAGGGACCAACCTGAAAAACTACTTGATGCAGATCGGCAATGTGAAGTACCGGTGTGACAGAATTGGGATGGACCCTATAGAGTTCTTCCTATGCATACCGAACACCTTGGGTGTAGAAGCCGAGACGCTGTATCGCATGAAAATGAGGGAATGGCTGAGGCGAGCGGAGGAGGACAGGGACGATCCCACGACGTTGTTTCTGGAGCGACTGAGAAAACAGTTCCCAGGCCATATGGCGGAACGCATCCGAGAGTTTCAGGAGTTTAGGCGCGGGAGAACGGAATCATTACTCATATACTTTGGGAGGCTCACTAATCTAGCGGAAGACATGGTGTGCACAGACAGCAGCATGCTGATTAGTAAGTTCTTGGAAGGCCTGGATGAAGGGCTGAGTGGTGGGCTGCGTATGTGAGTGTATGAGTTGGGGGCAGATGCTACACTAGAGGAGGTGTACGAGCTAGCGGAGAGGGTGGAGCTGGCGCAAAGGCGGTACAAGGTGTACTTGCCAAAGGTGTCAGACAAGAGGCGGCCCACATGGGCTACGGCGATGGTACCTGAGGACTGGGACAGAGAGGAGCAGTGGCAGGAGAGATAGGCAGAGACACGTACGTGCCACAGGTGCGGGCAGGAGGGGCATATCAGGAGGGAGTGCAAGAATTGTGATGTGTGCGGAAAGCCTGGGCACTGCCGAAGGGACTGCCCAGATGTACCGATCTGTGAGATGTGTGGGAAAAAGGGGCATCAGGTAAGGGAATGCTATGAGAAAATAAGGGAGGTAAGGAGATCACCCACGGAGATTGAAGAACAGATCGAACAGTTACGAGCCCAACTGCAGGCGCTGGGAGAAAGAACAGAGGGGCAAGCGGGGTTGTACGCGGAGGAGGAAGAGGGGCAGGAGCCAGAACACTCCTGTGCGGTGCTGCGTAGCTATGCAGACATGCGGCGAGCAGTGGGGGCAGGGACGGGCGAAAGAAGCAAGTGAGTAAGGTGGGGGCACGGGCGGGATAAAGTTAGTAACACCAGCAGCAGCGGGAGCGAAAGAGCAAGGCGAGCAGACGGGGGCAGAAGCGTGTGTATCAGGAGCAGCGGGAGCGGAGGAACGGGACGAGCAGATGGGGGAAGAAGCGTGTGTATCAGCAGCAGCGGGAGCGGAGGAACGGGACGAGCAGATGGGGGAAGAAGCGTGTGTATCAGCAGCAGCGGGAGCGGAGGAACGGGACGAGCAGATGGGGGAAGAAGCGTGTGTATCAGCAGCAGCGGGAGCAGAGGAACGGGACGAGCAGATGGGGGAAGAAGCGTGTGTATCAGCAGCAGCGGGAGCGGAGGAACGGGAGCGGAGGAACGGGAGCGGAGGAACGGGACGAGCAGGTGGGGGTAGAGGCGTGTGTACTGGCAGCGGCGAAAGCAGAAAAGAAGAACAAGAAGGTGGGGGAATGGTCGGGTGTACCAGTGGCAGCGGAAGCGGAAGGAAAGGAAAGGAGGGTGGGGACACAGGCGGGCATGCCAGCAGTAGCGGAGGCGGAAAGCAAGGCAGAGAAGGTGGGGGCACAGGCGTGCAAACCAGAAGTAGCAGAAGCGGAAGGGAGGGAAGAGAAGGTGAGAGCACAGGTGTGCATAGCAGCAGCAGCGGAAGCGGAAGTGGTGGATGAAGGGGTGGAGGCACAGGCATGTGTGGCAGTAGCAGCGGAAGAGGAAGGGAAAGAAGAGAAGGTGGGGGCACAGACGCGTGTAGCAACAGCAGCAGAAGAGGAAGGGAAAGAAGAGAAAGTGGGGGTACAGGCGTGTGTAGCAGCAGCAGCAGAAGAGGAAGGGAAAGAAGAGAAAGTGGGGGTACAGGCGTGTGTAGCAGCAGCAGCAGAAGAGGAAGGGAAAGAAGAGAAAGTGGGGGTACAGGCGTGTGTAGCAGCAGCAGCAGAAGAGGAAGGGAAAGAAGAGAAAGTGGGGGTACAGGCGTGTGTAGCAGCAGCAGCAGAAGAGGAAGGGAAAGAAGAGAAAGTGGGGGCACCTGAGTATATAGCAGCAGCAGCGGAGGCGGAAGTGGAGGATCAGAAGGAGGGGGTATGGGCAGGTTGGAGAGCGAAGGAAGGAGCTAAGTGGACGGCGGTGGGGGAGGCAAAGAGCGGGCAGGAGAGGAAAGTCACACTCGTGACACAGACAGTGGGAACAGAAGGGATTGAGAGTTGCGTGGCTCTGGTAGAAGCCAGGGCAAAGTACCTAAAGGAATTACAGCCGGCATCATGGGAGAACTTGCATACAGTGCAGCTGAGAGACGCACACAGGCCAGAGCAGCGGCGACGGCAGGGCGGCAACAAGGACAAGGGCGGCGGTACGAGTAAGACAGGAAGTCTACCTCCGGGCGGGACAGAAGGATACTCTGGAACTGGAAGTGGTGCCGGGCACGCAGAGAAGGAAGGCGACGAATATGAGGAGTGCGGGAGTGCTGTGTTAGAGAATGAGCGAAGAGAAAAGACAGGGGACCACCAATACTGCGGTGGTGAGAAGTACCCCGGCCTCAGCAAGAGTGTCCAGTGCCTCGTGCACGAGAGACCCGAGCACGAGCTCTGGAGGGGGCAGGTAGTGGCTGAGGCAGAGAAGGGAAGGTATCACAGGAACAGGGCAGAGAGAAGGAGGGAGGGAGGATGAGTGCCGGGAGGAGAGGGCAGGCCACGGGAGGCAACAGAGGAGAGGTTTTCCGACACTCCTCCTCCTCGGTCTCGTTCGCGTTCTCGTTCTCGTTGTTTTTAGGGGGGGCTAGGTGGGTATGCAAGATTTTGGCTCATGTCGAATCAATATGCCTGTCTCCCTGTCCCTCGCAGTCATTTATTTGTTTCCATGCCTCCTTCCCTCACTTCTCCCATCGTCTCCTCACTGCATTTCCCTCCCTCATGTCCGCATATGCCTCACTCCATTCCTCCGTCACTTCAACCCTCGCTGCACATGCCTCCCCACTCGCTGCACACGCCTCCCCACTCGCTGCACATGCCCCCCACACTCGCTGCTCATTCCTCCCCACTCGCTGCACATGCCTCCCCCCTCGCTGCTCATTCCTCCCCCCTCGCTGCACATGCCTCCCCCCTCGCTGCACATGACCCCCTCTCTCCCACTCACTCACTCACTCACGCTACCCACACACGCCTCCCCCTCCCAGTGACTCTGCCAGCAACCATCTCTCAGGGCAGCTATCGTCCAGCCTCCAGCACTCTACACCTCACTCCATGGCATGCCCCCCACCTCACTCCATGCCCCCCACCTCACTCCACGCCTCCCCCTCCCAGTGACCTTGGCAGCAACCGCCTCTCAGGCCAGCTGCCGTCCACCCTCCAGCACTTTTGTCTTTTAGAGCACTCGTTGACATATCCCTCCCTCGTCTTCCCCCTTGCCTTACCCACCACGCCTCCTCCTCCCAGTGACCTCGGCAGCAACCGCCTCTCAGACCAACTGCCGTCCACCCTCCAGCACTGCCGGCTCTTGCAGCAGCTGTGAGTTGTTCCCAACAAAACTGCTCCCTTGTGCCGTCCCCCCAGGTCTCACATTGCATAGATTTCATACACCACACCCGTCGCACCCATTGCACCATGCACCTGTCGCACCCATTGCACCATGCACCTGTCGCATACATTGCACCATGCACCTGTCGCATACATTGCACCATGCACCTGTCGCATGCATTGCACCATGCACCTGTCGCATACATTGCACCATGCACCTGTCGCATACATTGCAACATTCACTGCTGGCCCTTGCAGCACTTGTCAGTTGCTTCCTTCCTCTCACTGCTGCCCCTCCTTGCTTCGAGGTGACTTTTGAGTCGACTCAAAAGTCACCTCGTTACAATGGCACACGACACTTTTCCTTCCTCTCGCTGCTGCTCTCCTTGCTCACACACACTGCTCTCTCACGCCTTATTTCCCAGCAAGGTGACTTTTGAGTCGACTCAAAAGTCACCTCCTTGCTCACACACGCCTTATTTTCCAGCACACATTGCTCACGCTGCTCACATTCCTCACATGTTTCACACTCCTTGCATTGCTCACACCCCCCTCCCTCCCCTCCTCTTTCCCTTGCACCAGATCCATCCCAGCCAATCAGCTCACATACACTGCTCCCTCGTGCCTTGCTTTCAGAGCGCACATTGCTCCCCCTCCTTCCCCTCCCTCCTCCTCCTCTCTCCTCTCCTTTCCCTTTCACCAGATCCATCCCGGCCAATGCGCTCTCAGGATCGGTTCCAGAGTGGCTTGGAAGCCCCCTCGTCCCGTCCACCATCCATCTCCCTCCCCCCTCTCCCTTCCCCCTCTCCCTACCCCCTCTCTCTCCCGCCCATCCTCCCTGTCACCAGGTCCGTTGCAGCCAATGCGCTTTCAGGACCGGTCCCAGGGTGGCTTGGAAGCCTCAAGCAGCTTAGAGTGCTGTAAGCATAATGCTTAGTTAGAACCAATGCGATTTTTTTGGCGTGTTAAATCCAGAATATCTTGGAAGTTGCCTCAAGCGTCTGAGAGTGCTCTAAGCATGACGTTTAGCAAAAAGACGTGCGTTTCCTCCTCGTTTCACAGAGCGATTCCTCTCCTCACCTGAACCAGTTTTGAATCTCCTCTCCTCTCCTTTCATCCCTCCTCTCCTCTCCTCTCCTCTCCTCTCCTCTCCTCTCCTCTCCTCTCCCCTCTCCTCTCCTCTCCTCTCCTCTCCTCTCCTCTCCCCTTCTCCCCTCTCCCCACCTCCCCCTCCCGCAGTGAGCTTTACTCCAACCGCCTGTCCGGCCGTATTCCCCCCAGCCTGGCCGGTGCCTCTGCCCTGGAATCAATGTGAGTCAATGTGAGTCGATGACTGATAAACCTGTCTGGTGCGTGAATAAATGCCAGTCAATGCCAGTCAATGCGAGTCAATGCCAGTCAGTCACACTCTCTGCCGGCTCCCATTGCATCCCTCTCACCCCACAGAACACTAGACAACAGTCACATTGCCATGCTCTCCCCCACCCCACCCCATCTCTCCCACCCCACCCCACAGAGCAATAGACGACAATCGCCACTCAGGTCCCCTCCCACCAGCACTCGAGAACCCTTCCCACCCACAGAGCTCTGAACGCCAATCACATCTCCGTTCTCTCCCCCATCCCATGCTCTCCCCCAACCCATCCCATCCCTCCCCACAGAACAATACTCGGCTATTGCATCTCAGGTCCCTCCCACCAGCGCTTGGGAACCCGTTGGGTGCACACAGTCTCACTCTTGTGCCGTCCCTATGCCCACCCCCCCCGGCCCTCACCCCTCCCCACAGAGCAATAGACGACAATCGCCTCTCAGGCCCCATCCCACCAGCACTCGGGAACCTTCCCAGTCTCGCTGCGCTGTAGGGTTCAGGGTTCATGGTTTCGGGTTTAAGGGGTTAAGGGTTTTTTGGAGGAGTTGGGCTGCTGTTTTCGGGTTTTGAGCGGTGCCATGAGCATCTCGCCTGGGTTCAAAGTTTAGGGCAGTGGTGGTGCTGCTGTTTGCGTCGCTGCGCTCTTGGCTCCTCTTTCCGGTCTGCTGGTTTCGGGTATAGGGCAGTGCCGTTAGCATCTCTCTGCGTGAAGGGATGGATGACTTATAGGGCAAGCACTCGTGAGGGCAAGAAGTTATTAGGCGTTTTTATAGTCGACTAGAAAAGAGATGACTTTTGAGGGCAGCGAGCACTTGTGAAAATTTGAAGCCCCTCAGGAGAAGCCTGTACTCACTAGCATCTCCCTAGAGGACCTCATTCTTGTCCTGAGTGGCTGAGTCAGCTCAAGTATTGTCTTTTTAGTTACTCAAAGTGACCCTTGAGTCGACTAAAAACAAAACAATGCTGTTGGCGTGACGCGTCTACTCCTGGGTTTCGGGCAGTGCTGTTGTTTGCCTCGCTGTGCCTCTGCATTTACTCGCAAGCAACTTCCAGCAAGAGAAGGGCCCTTTTTCTGCCAGCTTCAGTGGCCCTCACTCCCCTGTTATACCTCTCACTCCCCCGTCTCATTGCTCTCGCGCGTTCTCTCTCATCCCATCATCTACCCCACGCTCTCTCGCACCTGCAGCTATCTCGCAAGCAACTCTTTGGAAGGCCCCATCCCTGCCAGTTTCAAACGCCTCAAGAGCCTCATGTACCTGTGAGTGAGTGGGGCTTGTTCGTACATATGCCCTTGTACCTTATATACCAATAGCACACTGCAGCTATCTTGCAAGAAACCACCTGGAAGGACCCATCCCTGCCAGTTTCAGCCGCCTCAACAGCCTCATTTTCCTGTGAGTGGGTGGAGCTTACATGTATATGTACTGTAATACCTTGTATACCAACAGCGCAGCAGTGTGCTGTGCTGCGCGAATATACCCTTTTAGACCCCATCCCTGCCAGCTTCAAACACCTCGAGAGCCTCATGTACCTGTGAGTGGGTGGGGCTTGTCTGTTTGTAAGTGCCCTTGTACCTTATACAGCGCACCACAGCACTCGCAAGCAAATCCCGGGAAGGGTCCATCCCTGCCAGCTTCAAACGCCCCAACAGCCTCATGTACACGTGAGTGGGTGGGGCTTGGTCGCTCAGAGCAAAAGGAATGGAGCATAAATAGCGCAGCAGTGCGGGAGTAGGGCTTTTTAGGCGCCTATGCAGCAGCTTCAGTGGCCTCAACAGCCCCATGTACCTGTGAGTGTAAGTGGGTCTTGATCACTCATAGTGAAAGGGATGGAGCAAACACAGCGCAGCAGTGCGGGAGTAGAGCTCTTTAGGCGCCTATGCAGCAGCTTCAGTGGCCTCAGTGGCCTCAGTGGCCTCTTTCTCTTCACCCAGCTCCCCCCCTCTGCCCCTCCTTCCCTCGCCCTCCTCCTTGCACCTGCAGGGACGTCAGTTACAATAATAGTGTCAACAGATCCCATCCCAGCCTTCCACATCACTCTGCCCTCCCCCTCTCCTGCCTGCTTTCCCTCACCCAATCCCCTCTCTCCCCATCCCTCACTCTCCCCCTCGCACCTGCAGGGACGTCAGTTACAACAAGGGCGTCAATGGATCCATCCCAGCCTTCGACCCCTCACCCAACTCCGCCTCTTTTATTCGACATCAACCCTCCTCTCCCCTTCCTCCATCCCACCCTTCCTGGGAAACCGCTGGCTTCTTGAGTCCCTGCGAGTGTGAGAGGGTTGAAAAATCTAGTCTCCACCCTTCTCTTTGTCGCTTTCCTCCCCTCCTCCGTGCACCTGCAGCGACCTGAGTTACAACAAGGGCGTCAACGGATCCATACCTCCCAGCCTGCCTGGGAAACCTCTGGCTGCTTTCAGCCGCTGTGCACGTGAGAGAGTCAAATAATCCAGTCTCTCCCCCTTCCTTCCTCCCCTCGCCTTCACACCTGCAGCGATCTGAGTTACAACGAGGGCGTCAACGGATCTATCCCAGCCTTCCTGGGAAACCTCTGGCTGCTCGAGTCCCTGTGAGTGTGGAAGGTTTGGGAACTGGATTCCTTGTGCGTCAGGTCAGAAAAGGTTGAGAATTCGGGTTTCTGTGAGTGTGAGAGAGTTGAGAATTCGGGAACTCGAGTGTCCTGAGTCGTTATGTGTGTGAAAAGGTTGAGGACTGGACTCGTTATGTGTGTGAAAAGGCTGAGTGCTGAACTTTCTTATGAGACTGGACTTCCTCACCGGCCCCATCCCTCCGTCTCTCGGCGTCTGCAGCCTCCTCATGGAGCCCTTCCTCTCCACCAACAGCCTCTTCCACTCCTCTCCCCCGCCCCCCTGTTCGCCCTCTCTCTTTTCCTCCCTGTCAGGGCCATGGAGTATTGCAACCTCACAGGCCCCATCCCCCCATCCCTAGGCACCCTCATCCTCCTTGTTGAAATCTTCCTCTCCTCCAACCGCCTCTCCAACCGCATCCCAGCGGCTCTCGGCAGTCTAGATTCACTCAACACGCTCTCAGGCCCCACCCCCCGCATCTAGTAACAAACTAGTGCCTCCACCTACCTACCCCCGTTTCTCCCCACACCGCCCATCCCCCTGGTCGTCTTTCCCCTTTCATCAGAGCCATGGAGCACTGCAATCTCACGGGCACTATTCCGCCATCTCTAGGCTCCCTCAACCTTTCGTGGAAATCTTCCTCTCCTCCAACCGCACTTTCCCTCCCATCCCCACCCCTCCCTTTCCTCCCTTTTCAGGGCCATAGAGCACTGCAGCCTGACGGGCCCCATTCCTCCCTCCCTAGGCGCCCTCAGCCTCCTAGTGGAAATCTTCCTCTCCTCCAACCGCCTCTCCGGCCGCATCCCAGCAACTCTCGGGAGTCTAGAGTCGCTGAACAAGCTCTATCTCAGCCGCAACCGCCTCACTGGGAAAATCCCAGCACAGCTGTGCCGCCTGTCTTACAGCTATGAGGTCAAAGTGGCTCGCAATGAGCTCAATGGGACGATCCCGGCTTGCCTGACTGCGCTGCCGCGTCTGACACTGCTGTGAGTGAATGGTACCCCGTGCTATCAGTGGCTGTTCTTCTATCCCACCAGAATATGGTTTAGTGGCCCTTGTATCGGCGCCAGGAGGGCTGCTGCACCTCACTGTAGCTCACCTCACCTCACCTCACCTCACCTCACCTCCCCTCCCTCCTCCCGTCTCCCACCTCCCCACTCCTCCCTCTCCCCCCTCCCCTCTCCCCTCTCCCCTCTCCCCTCTCCCCTCTCCCCTCTCCCCTCTCCCCCCTCCCCCCTCCCCTCTCCCCTCTCCCCTCTCCCCTCTCCCCTCTCCCCTCTCCCCTCTCCCCTCTCCCCTCTCCCCTCTCCCCTCTCCCCTCTCCCCTCTCCCCTCTCCCCTCTCCCCTCTCCCCTCTCCCCTCCCCTCTCCCCTCTCCCCTCTCCCCCCTCCCATCTCCCCCCTCCCATCTCCCCTCTCCTGTCTCCCCTCTCCCCTCTCCCCTCCCCCCTCTCCCCCCTTCCCGCCCCACCTACTGCAACAGTGACGTATCTCACAACCACCTCACGGGCCCACTGCCTCCCGTCCCGAAGAAATCCAATCTCCTCTTCTTGTGAGTTGCCCTGTCATGGAGCCTCTAGGAGTGTCAGTGCTCATCACAAGCTTCACTTTTAGGGACAAGTCCCTCTAGAGTCTAGAGGCACCCGTGTGAGTGTAAGTGTTCATGACAATGTTCACTTTGAGAGTAAGTGTTTATGACAAATTTCACCTTTACTCTTGTCACTACAAAAGTGCAGCAGTGCTTGAAGAAAAATCTCCCTGTCATGTCATGTCATGTTATGTCATGTTATGTCATGTCATGTTATGTCATGTTATGTCATGTCATGTTATGTCATGTTATGTCATGTCATGTCATGTTATGTCATGTTATGTCATGTCATGTTATGTCATGTTATGTCATGTCATGTTATGTCATGTTATGTCATGTCATGTCATGTCATGTTATGTCATGTTATGTCATGTCATGTTATGTCATGTTATGTCATGTTATGTCATGTCATGTTATGTCATGTCATGTCATGTCATGTTATGTCATGTCATGTCATGTCATGTTATGTCATGTTATGTCATGTTATGTTATGTCATGTCATGTCATGTCATGTCATGTTATGTCATGTCATGTTATGTCATGTTATGTCATGATAAGTCATGTTATGTTATGTCATGTTATGTCATGTCATGTTATGTCATGTCATGTTATGTCATGTTATGTCATGTCATGTCATGTCATGTTATGTCATGTTATGTCATGTTATGTCATGTCATGTTATGTCATGTCATGTTATGTCATGTTATGTTATGTCATGTTATGTCATGTCATGTTATGTCATGTTATGTCATGTCATGTTATGTCATGTCATGTTATGTCATGTTATGTCATGTCATGTTATGTCATGTCATGTTATGTCATGTCATGTTATGTCATGTTATGTCATGTCATGTTATGTCATGTCATGTTATGTCATGTTATGTCATGTCATGTTATGTCATGTCATGTCATGTTATGTCATGTCATGTTATGTCATGTCATGTCATGTCATGTCATGTCATGTCATGTCATGTTATGTCATGTCATGTTATGTCATGTTATGTCATGTCATGTTATGTCATGTCATGTTATGTCATGTCATGTCATGTCATGTTATGTCATGTCATGTCATGTCATGTCATGTTATGTCATGTTATGTCATGTCATGTTATGTCATGTTATGTCATGTTATGTCATGTTATGTCATGTTATGTCATGTCATGTTATGTCATGTCATGTCATGTTATGTCATGTCATGTCATGTTATGTCATGTTATGTCATGTTATGTTATGTTATGTCATGTCATGTCATGTCATGTTATGTCATGTCATGTTATGTCATGTTATGTCATGATAAGTCATGTTATGTTATGTCATGTTATGTCATGTCATGTTATGTCATGTCATGTTATGTCATGTTATGTCATGTCATGTCATGTCATGTCATGTCATGTTATGTCATGTTATGTCATGTTATGTCATGTCATGTTATGTCATGTCATGTTATGTCATGTTATGTTATGTCATGTATGTTATGTCATGTTATGTCATGTCATGTTATGTCATGTCATGTCATGTCATGTTATGTCATGTCATGTTATGTCATGTCATGTTATGTCATGTCATGTTATGTCATGTTATGTCATGTCATGTTATGTCATGTCATGTTATGTCATGTTATGTCATGTCATGTTATGTCATGTCATGTTATGTCATGTTATGTCATGTCGTGTCATGTTATGTCATGTTATGTCATGTTATGTCATGTCATGTTATGTCATGTTATGTCATGTCATGTTATGTCATGTTATGTCATGTCATGTCATGTCATGTTATGTCATGTCATGTCATGTCATGTCATGTTATGTCATGTCATGTCATGTCATGTCATGTTATGTCATGTTATGTCATGTCATGTTATGTCATGTTATGTCATGTCATGTTATGTCATGTTATGTCATGTCATGTCATGTCATGTCATGTTATGTCATGTCATGTCATGTTATGTCATGTCATGTTATGTCATGTCATGTCATGTCATGTCATGTTATGTCATGTTATGTCATGTTATGTCATGTCATGTTATGTCATGTTATGTCATGTCATGTTATGTCATGTTATGTCATGTCATGTCATGTCATGTTATGTCATGTCATGTCATGTCATGTTATGTCATGTCATGTCATGTCATGTCATGTTATGTTATGTCATGTCATGTCATGTTATGTTATGTCATGTCATGTCATGTTATGTCATGTTATGTCATGTCATGTTATGTCATGTCATGTTATGTCATGTTATGTCATGTCATGTTATGTCATGTCATGTTATGTCATGTTATGTCATGTCATGTCATGTTATGTCATGTTATGTCATGTTATGTCATGTCATGTTATGTCATGTTATGTCATGTCATGTTATGTCATGTTATGTCATGTCATGTCATGTCATGTTATGTCATGTCATGTCATGTTATGTCATGTCATGTCATGTTATGTCATGTTATGTCATGTCATGTTATGTCATGTTATGTCATGTCATGTTATGTCATGTTATGTCATGTCATGTCATGTCATGTTATGTCATGTCATGTCATGTTATGTCATGTCATGTCATGTTATGTCATGTCATGTTATGTCATGTTATGTCATGTCATGTCATGTCATGTTATGTCATGTTATGTCATGTCATGTTATGTCATGTCATGTTATGTCATGTCATGTTATGTCATGTCATGTTATGTCATGTTATGTCATGTCATGTTATGTCATGTCTTGTTATGTTATGTTATGTCATGTCATGTCATGTCATGTCATGTTATGTCATGTCATGTTATGTCATGTTATGTCATGATAAGTCATGTTATGTTATGTCATGTTATGTCATGTCATGTTATGTCATGTCATGTCATGTCATGTCATGTCATGTTATGTCATGTCATGTCATGTCATGTCATGTCATGTTATGTCATGTTATGTCATGTCATGTTATGTCATGTTATGTCATGTCATGTTATGTCATGTTATGTCATGTTATGTCATGTCATGTTATGTCATGTCATGTCATGTTATGTCATGTCATGTCATGTTATGTCATGTTATGTCATGTCATGTTATGTTATGTCATGTCATGTCATGTTATGTCATGTCATGTTATGTCATGTTATGTCATGATAAGTCATGTTATGTTATGTCATGTTATGTCATGTCATGTTATGTCATGTCATGTTATGTCATGTCATGTCATGTTATGTCATGTTATGTCATGTTATGTCATGTCATGTTATGCCATGTTATGTCATGTCATGTTATGTCATGTTATGTCATGTCATGTCATGTCATGTTATGTCATGTCATGTCATGTCATGTTATGTCATGTCATGTCATGTCATGTCATGTTATGTTATGTCATGTCATGTCATGTTATGTCATGTTATGTCATGTCATGTTATGTCATGTTATGTCATGTCATGTTATGTCATGTCATGTTATGTCATGTTATGTCATGTCATGTTATGTCATGTCATGTTATGTCATGTTATGTCATGTCATGTCATGTTATGTCATGTTATGTCATGTTATGTCATGTCATGTTATGTCATGTTATGTCATGTCATGTTATGTCATGTTATGTCATGTCATGTCATGTCATGTTATGTCATGTCATGTCATGTCATGTTATGTCATGTCATGTCATGTCATGTCATGTCATGTTATGTTATGTCATGTCATGTTATGTCATGTCATGTTATGTCATGTCATGTTATGTCATGTTATGTCATGTCATGTCATGTTATGTCATGTCTTGTTATGTTATGTTATGTCATGTCATGTCATGTCATGTCATGTTATGTCATGTCATGTTATGTCATGTTATGTCATGATAAGTCATGTTATGTTATGTCATGTTATGTCATGTCATGTTATGTCATGTCATGTCATGTCATGTCATGTCATGTTATGTCATGTCATGTCATGTCATGTCATGTCATGTTATGTCATGTTATGTCATGTCATGTTATGTCATGTTATGTCATGTTATGTCATGTTATGTCATGTCATGTTATGTCATGTCATGTCATGTTATGTCATGTCATGTCATGTTATGTCATGTTATGTCATGTCATGTTATGTTATGTCATGTCATGTCATGTCATGTTATGTCATGTCATGTTATGTCATGTTATGTCATGATAAGTCATGTTATGTTATGTCATGTTATGTCATGTCATGTTATGTCATGTCATGTTATGTCATGTCATGTCATGTCATGTTATGTCATGTTATGTCATGTTATGTCATGTCATGTTATGTCATGTTATGTCATGTCATGTTATGTCATGTTATGTCATGTCATGTCATGTCATGTTATGTCATGTCATGTCATGTCATGTTATGTCATGTCATGTCATGTCATGTTATGTTATGTCATGTCACGTCATGTTATGTCATGTTATGTCATGTCATGTTATGTCATGTTATGTCATGTCATGTTATGTCATGTCATGTTATGTCATGTTATGTCATGTCATGTTATGTCATGTCATGTTATGTCATGTTATGTCATGTCATGTCATGTTATGTCATGTTATGTCATGTTATGTCATGTCATGTTATGTCATGTTATGTCATGTCATGTTATGTCATGTTATGTCATGTCATGTCATGTCATGTTATGTCATGTCATGTCATGTTATGTCATGTCATGTCATGTCATGTCATGTCATGTCATGTTATGTCATGTCATGTCATGTTATGTCATGTCATGTCATGTCATGTCATGTTATGTCATGTTATGTCATGTCATGTTATGTCATGTTATGTCATGTCATGTTATGTCATGTTATGTCATGTCATGTCATGTCATGTTATGTCATGTCATGTCATGTCATGTTATGTCATGTCATGTTATGTCATGTCATGTCATGTTATGTCATGTCATGTCATGTTATGTCATGTCATGTTATGTCATGTCATGTTATGTCATGTCATGTTATGTCATGTCATGTCATGTTATGTCATGTCATGTCATGTCATGTCATGTCATGTTATGTCATGTCATGTCATGTTATGTCATGTCATGTCATGTCATGTCATGTTATGTCATGTTATGTCATGTCATGTTATGTCATGTTATGTCATGTCATGTTATGTCATGTTATGTCATGTCATGTCATGTCATGTTATGTCATGTCATGTCATGTTATGTCATGTCATGTTATGTCATGTCATGTTATGTCATGTCTCCTGTGAAATGGTGGCATGACGTTTGGTAGCATCCGATGGCTGATTTACCCAAGCTAGTGGTGCCCATGATCCCATGCCATCCCATGCCAAAGCCCATAATTCCACCCTCCCCAATCCCCCCATGCAGCTATGCGGGTAACTGCCTTCCGTTTTGAGGCACCTCAAGGATATCCCATGCCGTACCATGCCATGTGATATGCCATACCATGTGATATGCCATGCCACGCCATGTCATGTGATATCCGTTGCCATGCCATGATAAATGAGATCCCATTTGTGAACCCCAATCCCCCCATGCAGGTATGCGGGTAACTGTCTCGACCATGCACCCAACCAGACCTGCCCTGCCAATGCCTCCTCCCTTTCCGCATCCCTCTGTGCTCTTCTGTGCCCATGATTCCACCCCCCCATGCAGGTATGCCGGTAACTGTCTCGACCATGCACCCAACCAGACCTGCCCCGCCAGAGCCTCCTCCCATGCTGCTACTCTCTCGTCTTCTCCCTCCTCTCCCTCCTCCACTGCTCCTCTCTCTGCTCCCCCATCTGTTCCCTCTGCTCCCCTCTCTTCTCCCTCTTCTTCTCCCTCCTCTTCGCCCCACTCTTCTCCTCACGCTGCCCCCTCCGCTGCCCCCTCCGCTGCCCCCTCCGCTGCCCCCTCCGCTGCCCCCTCCGCTGCCCCCCCCTCTGCTGCTCCCCCATCAAGCAGCCTTGCTCCTGCCTCCTCCTCTTCTCCTGCCTCCTCCCCTTCTCCTGCCTCCTCCCCTTCTCCTGCCTCCTCCCCTTCTCCTGCCTCCTCCCCTGCCTCGGCCTCTTCCCCTGCTCCCTCCTCTTCGCCCTCCCCCGCCCCCACTTCCCTTCCTGGCCCCACTCCTCCGTCCACATCAGCACCGTCCACGTCAGCACCAGTGCCTACTTCTCAACCACAGCAGCAGCAGCAGCAGCAGCCACCGCTGCAGCAGCAGGGAACTCCACCAGGGTCTAGCAAAGCAGCTTCAAGCAAGGGATGCATTCAAGTTATTTACACAGCTGTGGCTGCATGCTTTGCTGTTGTGCTGCTTGCGTTACCATGGTAACCACGCGTGTTCCTGCTGCAGCAGCAACAGTGAGACCACCGGCTCGAAGTAAATTCACGTTTTAAATGCATGCATTGCTGTGTGCTTTGCTGCTGTGCTGCTTGTGTTACCATGGTAACCATGTTTTCCTGTAAGGATTCTTGTTAGTGAAGGGTTTTACGGTTTCTACTGATCGTTTTCCAGGAAAGAATGTCTATTTCGTTCCCTTTTGTTGCTTTAAGCGTCATTCTTTAGAATTGCTGCTCTTCCACTATGAGTGAAGACCATCCCATGCCATCCCATGGCCAGCAACTGGTGCAAGGACCGGCAGGGAGGAAGAATCAATCAACGCGTCTCCTGACCGACTCGAGGCCTCCCCCACTTTCAACCAAATCGCCAACGCTGCTGCCTCTTCTAATGACACATCCTCAAGACGAAACTGGGATGGGGAGATAGCAGGTGCGAGGGGAAGGCATGCGGATGGTTCAGGAGATGGGGGGAGAAGCAAGAGAGGAGGGGGTGGCAATGGCAGCAGTAGGAGTCGGAATGTGGGTCGTTTAGGGGTTGGGGAGGGAGGGGTGGAAGGGGGGGATCAGGAGAAGCAGGGACAGTTACGGTACGTGTCTGATTCACTCCCAGGCTCGGATTGTCACCGACCGATTGGACGAGCTGCTCTTGCGATTAGATCTTGTTTCGGCCGGACCAGTGGGGTCTGGGAGTGGTGATGGGGGTGCGACAGGGAATGGTGGCAGCAGCAACATCCAATTAAGTCCTGCCACGTCAGCGTTGACCAGCCAGCTGGTGTCAGGGGGGAATGGGTTGTTGGGAGGGAAGAACGGGAGTAGAGGCGAGCTGGCAGGGCCGATTGATATAGGGATTGGGGGAGAGAGGAGGAACGGAGGGGGAGGTGGTGGTGGGAGTGGTGGAGGGAGTGGTGGTAAGGGTGGGAATGGTGGAAGTGGCAGGCTCACTCCTATGTCTACTGGTGCTGCTGGTGGAGGGGGTGTGATACAATCCGCTGCTCCTTTTCTGTTTTTCTTTTGTTTCCCAACCAACGAAGACTTTCCAGCTCGATTCATTGAGTCCCGTGCTCCGTGACTCACTAGACTCTGACATTCCTTCACACCCCTTTTGTCAGAATCGACTGTGCAGGAATGAATGACTAGCAAGCAAGGATGAGTACAAGTACTAGGTTTGACCTAAAGTGTTGTACTCAGTAGAGGCTACCCCACTACAACCTACACATACAAATATAATTTGACACACCCCCATAGGCAAAGTGGGGGATAGCAAACACAACGAACGCTCACAAGACCAGTCAAGCAAGAGAATAAAGCAAAGCAAAACTCAGGGTGGATCTTAAGGACACCACACAATCTGAGTACAAGCAAGCGGCCACAAGGCCAGTTCACATGCAGAGTTATAATAGCAAGGCAGTACACTGATCACAACCTAGCAAGAGTAAACAAGCAGTTATAAATATACATATCAGTGTACAACGAGAGCAAGTCAAGCAACCAGCAGGTGAGGCAGAGTGGGCACAAGCCCAAGAGCAGTGCAGAAACGCTGATGATCACCAGACACAAGGGCCTTGGTGAACACATCAGCAATGTTGGCCCGCGAGGCCACGCAGGAAAGGCGGAGCTGACGACGCTGCTGCAGCTCACGTGCAAGGAAGTAGCGAAGAGCAATGTGCTACGTTCTGTACTCCAGTCTCTGCTCGTGACACAAGGCAAGCATTGACTTGTTGTCGACGTACAGAACTGGAGGAGAACGAGGTCGCTCCCCCAAGTCGGTCAGCAGGTAGGTCAGCCAACGTAGCTTCTGTGCAGCCATGGCCCCAGCGTAGATCTCGGCCTCATAGCTGGAACCAAGCACAGAAGAAGAACGAGTGGACCTCCACGAGACAGAACCAGAGCCAAGACTGAAGGTGTAACCCTGTGACGAACGTGTTAGAATCTTACGGGAAAAGGTAAGTGTCGACTATCGAGGGGAAAGGTACAAAGGAAAAAAAAACCCAAGGGGTTGTACCCCACAGTGAGTACCCCACTAAGCCTAACCAAACTATAACCTATATACACATATGTTTGACACACCCCCATAGGCAAAGTAGGGGAGAACAGAGGGTCACAAGACCAGTCAAGAAATGCAAAGCAAGCTCAGGGTGGATCACAACGTCACCACGCAGTTTGAGCACAAGCAAGAAGGCCACAAGGCCAGTTCACATGCAGAAATATATATGTAACAACAACAGTACAGTGAAATCTACCTACAAGAACAAGCACGCAGGAATACATATAAATCATGGTACAAACAAAGCCTACAGCAAGTGAGGATGAGTGGGCACAAGGCCTAACAAAGTGCAGAAACGCTGATGATCACCAGGCGGAAGCGCCTTGGTGAATATATCAGCAGTGATGGCCCGAGTGGCCACGTAGGTAAGACGAAGCTGGCCACGCTGCTGTAGCTCTCGAGCAAGAAAGTAACGGAGAGCGATGTGCTTTGTTCTGTGCTCCAGTCTGTGCTCCTGACACAAGGCAATGGCGGCCTTGTTGTCGACGTACAGAACTGGAGGAGAATGAGGCCGCTCTCCCAAGTCGGTCAGCAGGTAGGTGAGCCAGCGCAGCTCCTGTGCAGCCATGGCTGTGGCGTAGATCTCTGCCTCACAGCTGGAGCCGAGAACTGAAGACGAACGTGTAGAACGCCAGGAAACTGAACCAGAACCAAGGCTGAAGGTGTAACCCTGTGACGACTGCTGCGTAGCCTGGTCATCAACCCAAGAGGCGTCCGAGTGACCTATGAGGACAACGTCACCCCGTCCTCCAAGCACGAGCCCCATGCCCGATGTACTGCACAAGTAGCGTAGTACCCTCTTGGCAGCATCCATGTGCACCTTTCGGTGCCGACCAGGAGCCACGTAGCGAGCCAGAAGGCCAAGAGGGTACGCAAGGTCAGGACGAATGCAAGTCATCAGGTACATGAGGCAGCCCACTAACTCTGGGTAAGGACCACTCGGCTCTACGGACTCGTCCGAAGGTGGAGCAGAGAGTGAGTGACCTGTAGCCAGAGGAGTGGCCTGTGCTGAGGACCAGGTGAAACCGAAGCGCTGAAGGACCTGCTGCACCATGTGTGACTGAGTCAATGTGATGGTGCGGCGTGCTCTGTCCCGGGTGATCTGCAAGCCAAGGTAGCTGCGCAGTTCACCCAGGTCTGTGCACGTGTGTCTCTTCTGCAGCTCCGACTTCACCAGGGCGAGAGCCTCAGTGTCAGCAGTGGCAAAGACCAAGTCGTCGACGTACACGAGAACGTAGAACGGCGGCAGCGAAGTGTTGGTGCGCAAAAACAGCGACGGGTCAGCAGTCGACGGAGCAAACCCAAAGCTGCAAGTGTCGTCCTCAGTGTGTCGTGCCACTCACGTGGCGCCTGGCGGAGACCGTAGACCGGCCGCCGGAGGCTCCACTGGGTACCAGGAGGGAACGACCCAGTGAAGCCAGGAGGGCGGCGCAGCCAAATCTCCTCGTGCAGGCTGCCCTGTAAGAAGGCTGTGCTGAAGTCAAGAGAGTGAAGCTCGTAGTCACGCTGAGCGGCAACGTGCAGCAGCACCCGAAGAGTGGTCATCTTCGGGGTGGGGGAGAAGGTCTGGAAGAAGTCAACTCCCTCTCGCTGACTGAAGCCTCGAGCCACGTAACGAGCCTTGAAGACAGGCGGAGAACCTGGCGGCCGCTTCACCCTGAAAATCCACATGCACTGACAATGTTCGCCCCAGGAGGGGGAACCTCGTCGACGTAGGTGCCTGTGGACTTCCAGGATGCCATCTCTGCGTCCATGGCTGTCTGCCACTGAGAGGAGTACTCACCCGCTATCGCCTCAGCGTAAGAGCGCGGGGTAGGGATGTCTGGTGCATCCGGGTCTCCCTCAGGGGCAAGCAGCATGGATACGAGATGAGGCGCAGCAGCTGCAAGACACTCAAGGTCCTCCTGCCTGTCCTCAAGGACGTCCGTGCCAAGAGCACACTCACCCCCGACGGACGGAGGACAGACAGACGTAGACCCAGGAACAAGACTGGCGGCGTAGTCTAGACGACAGTGAGCCAGGCTGTAACGGAAGACCAGTAGACGATGGAAGACTGAGAACCTGACGAAGTGCAGAGTCAGGTGGTGGCTGAGACGACGGAGATGGCGGAGCAAAGAACAGGCGCGGCTGAGCAGTGCCACCAGCAGCTCCAGCACCTCCAGCAGCTCCACCACCCCCAGCAGCTCCAACACCTCCAGCGGCTCCAGCACCTCCAGCAGCTCCAGCACCTCCAGCAGCTCCAGCACCTCCAGCACCTCCAGGACCTCCAGCAGCACCACCACCAGCCCCAGCAGCTCCAGTACTCCCAGTACGAGCACCTCTAGGACCAGCGACACCAGGAGAAGAACCACCAGTAGGAGAGTCCTGAGGTGCAGAAGTGGGAAGCCGACGGCGACCGTACCAGTCGTGCAGCTGCTGGGAGGTGAGGGGCACACGCGGACGAAGACGGCTACTCCAAGGAGACCGCGTAACAGCAGACTCAGAACCCTCAGGCAACTCACCCCCAGACGCAGCACTCCCAGGCTCAGCACACACAGGCTCAGCACCCCCAGACGCAGCACCTCCAGACGCAGTACCCCGAGACGAGGCACCTCCAGGCTCCACACGCTCAGCGCCCCCAGACTCAGCACCCCCAAGCTCCGCACCCCCAGGGACAGCACCACTCCCAGCAGGACCGGAGTCACCAGTGACCTCAACAGGCGCAGGCGCGGGGGGGTCTACCTGAGAGACACCCAAAGGAGCAGGACCTGGCGCGGGGAGGGGGTCTACCTGGGGAGGACTTGGTGCAAGAAAGAGCGGCGGGGGGGGGGGCGAGGAGCAGTGCGGTAGGGGAAGAGGCAGTAAAAGGGGACCGACTCGTCAAAGGTGACGTCCTGAGACACAAGGACACGGCGCGAGGCGGGGTCGTAAAACTGCCAGCCAGGCGCGTCAGAGACAAAGCCAAGGAAGACGCAAGGAATGGCGCGAGGGGAGAGCTTGTCCGCGGTGGTATCGCGGACAAAGGCACGAGCACCCCAGACCCGGAAACGCGACGCGTCGCCAACCTTCCCCGTCCACAGCAGTGTGGGCGAGGTCTCCGGCAAGGAGACACGGGGCCAAAGGTTGAGCTGATGCGCGGCGTACCGGACCGCAAACGGCCACAGAAAATGGGGGGCAGCCGCATGGATCATGGAGGTACGAGCGACCTCCATGACTAATCCAATGCGGCGCTCAGCAACCCCATTTTGCTGCGGAGAGGCCGGAAGCGTAAAAGTCTGGCGGATGCCGTGCTCCGCACAGAAGGCTGCCAAGAGGTCTGAGGAGAACTCACCACCTCTGTCAGAGTGCAGACGCAGGACAGGAAAGTCCGACTGGAACCGCTCGCGGAGCTGGAGACGAGTAGCGCGGATCCAGGGGATCAAATCATCAGGGACATCCGCCTTGCGCTGCAAGGGGAAGACCGTGGTGTAGTGCGTGTAGTCGTCGACAACCAGCAGGAAGTACCGCTCGTGGCCCTGTCCACGGACGCGGGCTGGGCCCCACACGTCCAGGTGGAGAGTCTGCAGTGGAGCCTCTGTGGGAGGGAACGAGGAGGAGTGAGGAGCGGCGCGCTGCCGCCCCTCGATGCAGGGAATGCAGGGCGGCGCAGGCGAGGGAGGGAGGGGAGGCAGAG